TTTTGGAATTGGCCGCAATGCATTACATTTTTTTTTTGTTTTGTATTCGAGGTGGGTGAATCATAACAGCTTTTCCATGGGACGCACCTATTTTTGGGAAACATACCATTTTTTTTTTTTTGGTAATTTAATCATTAGTGGTTTTTTAATGTCTTATGTGAGAATAGAAGCCTGGACTTTAATTGGGGCACAAATAGTGCTACCACCATGACTTCAACCCCATTCTCATAGCCCACCATCTTGCAAACTAGGGCACAAATAGTGCTATCACCATGACTTCAACCCCATTCCCATAGCCCACCATCTTGCAAACATCGACTGGGCCATGAATGTAATATTGGAAGGTGAGTTTATTTTGGTTATATTCTTTAAAGAAAATTGTTCCATGAGTTAGGGGACATATTTCTATATTTGCGTCTCCCCCATGTAAAAAGCATCCATTTTAAAAATAGATGGAAAAAGGTGGTCCATCTAAAAACAGTTGAAACAAAAGGTCCAAATGTTTTATTCATAAAATTATTTTTTTTATTTTTAAATTTTTTTTTTATATTCATAATCTCCATATTAGAGATTATATGTCCTAAAAACTTGGATCCCGAAATCCTCTTGAAAATAGATTTTAAAGACGGGACTCACTTCTATATGGACTCATAAAAACCGTGTCCATTCTTTAATGGAAATTATTTTATGTAACTTGTAAGCCTTATACTGCATAAGTATGGCGCACCTCGAAAATTGACCCGAAAAGGTTGTACTAAAGTTGAAAAAACCCATAATTGATTATTTTGATATGGATATAAAAAAAAAAGATTTTAAGTTAAAAAAATTGTACATCTTGTAACACTTTATCTAGACCGTCTAATTTCTAAACATTTTAATGTTTGAAGCTACGCTCAATCTACAATATTTTTGGAGCTTTAAATTTTATATCTAGAGATAAAAACATATTTTTTTTCTTGAATTTGTGAGGTGGATAATAGTTTTTTGACTATCAGAATGGTTTTGGACACCCAAATTACATCTTTTAGCAAGATTTTAGAGACGCGCCTTACTTTGATATGTAAACTTAAACCTTGTTTGATAGAAGTTTTAACGCATACGTGACTTCTCAATTGATTTCATCAAGAGTATATTGACTTATCTAAAATTAATATATTCTATGCAGTAATACTTCTTATTGGCTTGGTATTCATCTTGTATTATATATTATTATCTAAAATTAATATATTCTATGCAATAATACTTCTTATTGGCTTGGTATTCATCTTGTATTATATATTATTATTGAAGTATTTACCCTTTTTAATAAATTCCAGCTATTTCTGTCAAATAAAATGTAATTCTTAGTTAATTACTCTTAATAAAGTAAACACAGTTTTTTTATGTTTAAAATTAAATTTCTTGAAGTAGCTAGTTATCAATAATAACGTGCTCATTCCAACGGGGCCCTAAACTTTGTATGTAAAAGTAGCTATAGTTCAATAATTTTAGGATGGCTAATTCAAAATCACAAGCTAGTCTATGATTAATTTTAGGGAAACTAACATAAAAATCCTCTTTGATTTTTGAAATTTAAAAATAGCCAAATATATTTAATATTTTACATCTCCAGTTTTTTATAATATATATTATTTTAATTTATTTTATTATTATATATTTGACTAAGATCAAATTTAGACGTCTACACTTCTCACTATAATGCAATTGTAAAAAATATTAGAATTTACAATTGATTTAAGAAAAAAAAAGGATCCAAATACCCCCCTACATTTTAAATTATAGGGATATTCTATTAACAAAATGTGAGATAGCGAGGAATATTGACTCTCAATTTTGAGTTAAATCCGATGTATGGGATAAAAAATAAAATTATAATATCATATTTACTATTAGATAGGATTTAAGTCTAACATATAAAATATATAAAGGATTGTATACAATGAGACCATTTACTTTTGACATAAAGTGGTTACAAATCTTACACCTATTTGATGTAAATTTTGATAGTTTGGATGAGTCATAAAGTTCGAGAAAATTTATTTTGAATTTTAATTTAGTCAATAGAATAATTGCAGCCACTCAATTTCACATTCATTGGTCATTATCTTTATATCAAATAGTAATTTGTCATATTGTATACTTTCCCAATATATAAAACTACTTTTAAATTTTAGAAAATAAAAAAGTTTCTGTTAATTTCTTACCAAACAAGTGCGCTTTGTTGAAAGCGACTTGCAGTTAAATCTCTGCTCGCACGAAAGACCAGGAAAAGTCTAGAGCGCCCTCTCTTTCTTCTCCCACTTATTTACCCCAAAATAAATAGACCCTTCCTTTTAATAAGCAAATATTTAGACCATAGTAAGGCTTGAAAATTCAAGGATTCGGTTCCCGCCAATCTGCTGGGTTTCCCCTTGAACCAATGAGATTTCTAACAAAATTGAGTGATTATGATCCGAACGGGTTTGAATGAGAAACTTTAGTAAGTATATTTTTTCATTTTTTTAAATATATTTTTTATTTTTTTTTTAAAACAAAAGGGTACTAGCCCACACCTTGTTTTTTGTTTAAATAAATAACATCACCTTCATGTGGACCTTACCAACTAATCATCCACTACATGTGCTGATAAGTGTGCCCACAATAAAACAAACTTTGGGCCCAAAATTTTCATATGGTAACTTTGGGTCTCTCTCTCCCTCACCCACCCCATTGGCGTCTCTCTCTCCACAACCTCCTCTACTAACAATCTCTATCTCCCCTTTGACATCTCTCTCTATTCTTATAAACAATTAATTTCACTAACATTATCTCTCTCTACTAACAATCTCTTCTATAAAAGGGCGTGGTTTCCATAAAATTGCAATCTTAAACAATCCAATTAAAGAGCACCTTCAAAATTTTTCATAACATCTAATTTTGATGTAAAATATTTATAGGTTTATCTCAAATATATATTTTTATATTTAATTATAAAATTTTAAATAAATATTTGAAAATGGACAGTCTAGATAATATGTTGTAAGATGCACTATATATGAGTCTCAAAATCTTTTTATTTTTCATATGAATAATGATCTTATAGGACTCTCCCCGACCCATATATGTAAGACTCCAAAGGATCATCTTTAAAGTTGATACAGATATCTAAAAAAGTTATCATATGAGTGTGGGACTTGACTTTTCTATAGATCCATGCCAAATTTAATAGTGATCCTTTGGGGTCTTACACACGTAGGTGGGCGAGGGTCCTATAGGATCATTCTCTTATCATATTCATATATCTTGATATATAGATGATCAATAAGAAGGTTTTTCAATATTAAAACAATTTTTTCTGTAGATTTTTGAGGTGCATCTATAGTTATACATTTTAACGTTGCAATTTTATATAAACTTTTTTTTTAAAATTTATAAGATAATTGCCATTATTTTATTTTAAAAACCAAACAAAATTAAATTTTTCAAAAATTATAGTAATTGTTTGAAAGTATTTTGAGGCTGAAACAAGCCAAATCTCTTATATGAATTGCCGATTCACTTATCAAACGCGATTTTTGAAGTGGACAATACGAATCAATTATATGTTTTTTTAAACCATTTCAAAGTGGTAGCTACTCAAATATATAATATTATTTACTCAACGAATAAGGAAATTTTTTTTAGCAGTAGATTTGTTCTCCATTGTGGGGCCATGTGAACGAGGGATGTCAGCTTTTCGCCGCAAATCCCACGGCATTAATAAGTGTGTGCATGAACGGTCAAGATTTCGCCACATGTTGGGCTTTTTAAATTTCTTTTATAAAACAAATTACCACATTTTATACGTAAATTAATTTAATTTGAGAAAGGTTTATATAAGATTGCAACCTTAAAAATGTATAATCACATACCCACCTATAAATATGTCCAAAATATTGTTTTAATGTTAAAAAAACTTTTTAATCTGAATACAAAAAAAAAAATTTTGAGTTTAAAAAAATAGTGCAACCTGAAACACATTATTTAGACGGTTCATTTTTAAGATTTTCATATATTTATAGATCTATTTGATTTTAATTATTTTTAAAATTTAAAATTTTGAAATTAGATATGAAAATAATTATTTACAATAAAATTATATATTATGATAAAATTTTAATGTGCGCGTTGATTATAGAAACCTCACGAAAATTGTAAAGGTTACTTTCGTCGAAATGTAAAAAAATAAAAAAAACTAATAAAGTTGCGAAATGCGAACAGCTAGAAATATAAGGTCAATCCGTCCTTTGGAAGATCCCAGTGGAGCACGTGCACGTCCAGGCCTTCCTCCGTCACAATATATAACATCAGTGGCAAAATAGTCATTTCATCTCTTGCTTCTTTTTAGCATGGGTACGGTTTGTATGGAGCCGAGACTTAAACAATCAAAAGTAAGCCACCTTCGAATAGTGCGAGTAATATGGTTTCAATTATGAAAATCAGTCTAATAGCCTTAAAATATATTTGTATATTTAATTATAAATTTAAAGCTTTAAAAATCATATAGATTGTGTAGATCTATAAAACCGTAAAAATTGTAGTAAAAAACTGCATTATAAGGTATACTATTTTCAAGACTTGGAATCCAATTTTTTGTTCGTATCGTACGTAAATCCAAATTTTTTTCTCGTGTCAAACGTAAATCCAATTTTTTTTTCTCGTGTCATATGTAAATCCACTTTTTTTTCTCGTGTCATACATAAATCCAATTTTTTTTCTCTTATTGTCGAGATGATCAATTTAAAGATATTTTGGCATCAAAACAATATCTTCTACTGAAATTTTGGATGTGGCCTTAATTTGATCTACTAGGGCATGGACCCTAAATAAACTTTATTTTCAAAAAAATTATTTTTATTGTTTTGGAGATTTAGGAGGGTAGATCGGTCATTGCAGTGAGAAAAACTTGAATGGCCAGCTAGCCCTTAACTCGCCACTGACACTCGTACCAGTGGCCGCCAGTGCTTACAAAAAGGCCCGCAGAGAAACAACTCCCCCCAAATTCAATCTAACCAGAATACCTTGCTTTCTCTCTCTACATTGCAGAGAGAGAGAAGAGGCAGGAGGGGAAATAGAAAAATAAACCACCGACTTTTTCAATCCTCTCCATTTTAAAGCTGCTCTCTGCAACTCTAATGGCGCCATAGATCGCCAAAACCGCGACACAAGACCGCTATTGACAGAGCAAAAGTCACCCCACAAAAGATTCCAGGTAGCAAAACGTCATTGTCCCTCTCTTTCCCTTTCTCTCTCTAACTCTGCAGAATGTTGTTCTGAGTGGGAAAGTATGTTTTGATTCAGGGAACAGAGAATGGGACTGCGAGCCTCTTCTTTCTCCTTCTTCTTGGCCGCATTCCTCTCTCTTGCTTTTCTTTTCCCCGTCAATGGCGATGATCCGTATAGGTTTTTTACGTGGCAAGTGACTTGGGGGGACATTTATCCCCTCGGTGTAAAGCAGCAGGTAACTCTCTCTCTCTAGATCTCTGGTTTACAGGGGCGAAGAAGTGACGGGGAAGATGTTTTCACAGAGAAGTGGTCGGTTTAGATCTGAATTGGTACAATGTAGGATGTCCTGGACCGTCGGATCTTGCCTGATGAACTTCTTGTTTGTTTTGTTGCAGGGGATTCTGATAAATGGGCAGTTTCCGGGACCTCAGATTGAGGCCGTAACAAACGACAACCTCGTCATCAACGTCTTCAACAACTTAACTGAGCCTTTCCTCCTCTCCTGGTCTGCTCTCTCTCTTTCCCTCTTTCTGTCACTTTCTATCTCTAGTGTTTTTTCTGGTTCTCTATTTTTTACTATCTTCTCTAGAACTACGTCTTTTCAACCAATTTCTCCCTCTCTTACTTTCTCTGCAATTCTGAATTTCACCCTGTATCCAGTTTTTTAACCATGAAAATAGCTCCCTCCCTTTCGAATCTAGTTTTTAACCATGAAAAGAGGCTCTCTCTCTCTAGAATCTGAAACTTCTCTTCTTCTCCTCCTCTTTCTCTCTCTAAGCTTTAAACTGAAAGTAAGGATTCCCTCCCTCGGTGGAATGGATAGGAAGAGAATGGTGGTTGTTTTTTGACAAGTGAAGGGTAGTTTAGGCATTTAGAAAATGACATGATATTTGTAAGGTCCTTTTTGTTGGTCATCTTACGCGTTTACTTTGGTCTTCGCGCCCGCGTTATGAAGTTTAAAAGTGAAAATGTGCCTGTAATTGTCATTATTTTAAGTCACTAAAACCACATTCATGGGAATATTGCATATTGTTTGTAATTCACATTAAGAAAATTAAGGATTTGTTGAACTTAAATATTAGCCTTCAGAACTGTGCAGATCTAAAATCCCAGTGGTGCAAAGTATAATATTTTTAATATTTGAACTTTATTTTTTATTTTGATATATTCTTTCTACATCAGAACAACTTGATTTGATTTTACATAAATTAAGTTTAAGGTTGCCATGGATCAGGCCCGGCCCTTGGGCTACATTTTGTCTACTAGGCTTTAGGCTTGACCGAGGTTAGGCTAATCAGGCCATATGGGGATTTGTGGCCTCAACCGCCAATATGATTTTTAATGGAGTAGAATGGAAAATTGGGAGAGATTTCAATTAATTGGAAATAGAGCATGAAAATTAGAATTTATGTAACCGATCTCAATTAATTGAAAAAAAAAAAAAGAAAAAAGATGATGATTAGTATTATTTTGCTCCACTGTAAGTGGAAGATAAATTAAACAGTAACTCGTTATAAATCACACGGTAAAACTTTTTTTGGACTCCAAAAAAGTGCTTGAAATCCTGGAAAAAAATCTAAATCATCTGCCAAAATTGAAAGAGATCCCCTTGCAGAAATCAAATGAAACTTTTAGATCTGGTCTCTGGTAACAATAGGGCACAATGAATGAGTAAGTAGTGACGAACTATATGGATTTTAGGTGAGATTTATTTATTTATTGGTAATAATGAGGATATTTGAAATTTTTTGGATTAGGAATGGGATACAGCAAAGGAGGAATTCATGGCAAGATGGGGTTTATGGTACCAACTGCCCCATCCCACCTGGTGGAAACTTCACATACAATTTGCAGGCAAAGGATCAGATTGGAAGTTACTTCTATTTCCCTTCCCTTGCCTTTCACAAGGCTGCCGGTGGGTTCGGAGGGATCAGAGTTCTTAGCCGACCCCTCATTCCGGTCCCGTTCCCTCCACCCGCCGGAGATTTCACCGTCCTCGCCGGTGACTGGTTCAAGGCCAACCACTCTGTAAACTCTCTCACTCTCTATGCCTGTGTTATGATCTCACTCCCACTAAATGCACAACTGCTTCTGCATTAATGCACAAAGCATTTCCTTCTCTGTGTCGTAGCCTAATCCTCCACAAGAAAAATATTGACTTTTTTTCATTTCAATTTTTTTTTTTTTTGAATGCTTGCCGTTCCACCTCTCTCACCTCTTAATATTTTTCACCGCTTCTCTCTCTTTCTCTCTACGCCAATTCTATTTCCGTGAGTGCATCTCTGTTTTATTCTCCCTGATCGTCGCACGTGACATAGCTTGACACGACGTGGAATTTCAATTTTGTTTTGGCATGTGCTATCCCAAAGCTGACAATTAACGGCCCAGATGCTTCCGATTCGTGAGATTCATTGGGGCCCGTTGCCAGCTGCACGTTAGGATTGATTATGTAATGAACTTGTGGAGATTGCTCATCTCACGCATTTTTTTTACTAGTTGAGTTTGCATCGTTGCTCGGGCTTGGCTCTTTATTCTGCTGGGGCTCAACTCGGGCCACCTAAAATAATGAAAATTATAAAAGTCGATTAGTGTGAAATCAATGTTTAAAAGTTGTGTTCAATTGGGATATTTTTTTTTTTTACAGATTTGTGAGTTTTTCTTGTTATAATGTCTATCTTTTATTTTATTTTATTTTTAAGTGTGATTAATTATTAGCCAATTTTTTTTAAATCAATGATATATATATATATTTGAAAATACTGTGCAACACTTATAGGCGAAAATGAATAGTGATTTTGTTTATGCTCATCACTATCCAACGTTCACCGTACGGTCACAGTTCATTGTTCAACGTTCATCGCACGGTCACAGTTGTCCGGTAGTGTTTCAATTTTTATTTATTTTTTTATAAATCGAAATGATTTAAAATTTGGAGCGAGTCATCATAAAAAATAAGAGAATCTAATAAAAATATATAAAAATAATTCGTAAAAAATAAAATAAAAGAATTTAATAAAAATATATAAAAATAATTCGTAAAATATAAATTGATCAAAATACCCTTAAAAAATTATAGGGGGTATTTTGGTTAATTTATATTTAACAAAATAGTTTTTTCATTTTTTTATTAAGTGCGTCTTATTAAGATTTACACACGTTTCAAATTTCAAGTTATTTCGATTTATAAAAAGAAATAAAAAATGAAACATTATCGGACAAGTGTAACAATGCGATGAATTTTGGATGGTGATGAACATACGTGAAATCAATGTTCATTTTCGTCTATAGAGGTTAAGAAATGCTTTTCTATATATATATATAAATATATATTATTAATTTTGTTTTTGGATTTTTATGTTGCCTTATGTTTTATTTCACTTTTACATTTTATTTTATTTTATGTTTGAACAATTTTATTTTATTTTTTAAACTTCTCAGCCTGAGTCCACTTGAACTTAATCGAGTTACTCACCATAGGCCAACTTCAAGACCCGAGGCAAGTTTTTTTAAAAAAATTGGTTTTTACTAGTGTTTAACCCAACGATTTCCAGTACGGATTGCTGATCTTGATGGAAATCATTTGGGAGCAAATTGGTTTCAAGATGGTATGGATCCTTGCTCAATCCCCCATTCTATATATGGTTCTTTTCTTTTTAGAACTTGTTTTCCTTAGTTCCCCTTTAAAATTTCATCCGCAAATTGCTATTTTAATTTGTATTTTATTTTAATTTTAAATAATTTTTTGGATCATATATTCATGTTAATCCAATCTTAGTCTAGATCATCAATTTAATAATCCAATATGGATGTGTATGTTAACCATCCGCCTCCCTGATCCCGGTTTTTAAATACTCCACCCAAAACATACTCATTCCAAATAATCGGATTGTCCTGAACTCGCTTCACCTTTTTTTGGTCAGTCACAATAGTTTATAAATTCAGCTTATGTTTAGATGCCCCTGCACCATCATGGTTATGGGGTATTTTGGCATTGAAAACTTGTACCTCAATTTATTCAGATCTATTGGCACGCCCACAATTCATTGTCAATTGATCGCAACCAAAATTAGTTAAAAGGGCTTACTGCGCAATATCATAAAACAAACGCTTAATGAAATATCGTTCAAAGAAATAATTTTTATGGTAATCTGACAATTCTTGCATAATTATATGTAGAAGGAATTTTAAACAATTAGAGATTTGGATCAAACTGACTGATCTGATGCCGCTAAGTATCGGGAAATGGCCAGTTCCCCTATGGACTGGCAGGTTATGGCGGTTCTCTACCGGTCTCACTTTATTTTTCAATATTATTTTTCAGCTTTCTATTCTATTTTTTTATTTTTGTTCACCAGTTCATTAGTCCGGATCACTGATCTGCTGTTTTGGAACGGTTTTCAAGAGGAGCGATCCTGTTCACCTAACCGTATTTTTAAACCATGATATATGTACTTTTGAGTTTTGAAACTTAATGGGAAGAGAATGTCTATAGATTCATAACCATTAGCGTTATATAATTTGCATTTTTTTTCCTTTTATCTTTTGTAATTTAAGAAGCTTGGGTTAATGGTTTCCAACCCCTTAATAAATCTAATGGTTATTTGTTGGTGAGGTTGGGATTCAAAACCAGTCGGTTTGGGCCCAATTTTTTATTGTTCCCCATAAATGATTCCTTGCTGTATGTTGAATTAGTTAAAAACAAATAAACTTTGGGTCTCTCTCTCTTCTTCTTTTTTTTTTTTTAAATTATTTATTTATTTATTTTCCTTTCTTAAATGCATTTGAATCAGTGGTAAAATGTGATAGGCATACACTCTTTGGGGATCCACCCTTGACCCATGCTGCCAAATTCTGTTCTCGTTTTTCAATAGAAATGAAAAGGAAATATTTTCCTTTTTGTAGGAAGGTTCTGGCTTTTGCAGTGCTTAGAATGACTGTGGGTCTTTAAACATTTGGCTCAGGATTTGAAGGCAACTCTGGATGGTGGGCACAGTCTTCCTTTCCCTGATGGTATTCTCATCAATGGCCGCGGACCAAATGCTCTTGTCTTCACTGTAGATCAAGGTAGTGTGGGCTTTACACATTTTTTTTGATTTATCACGAAAAATTGGCAAATTTGAATTTGGGGGACACTTCAACATTGTACAAAGGAAAAACTAATGTAAATTAAAGATCCGACTGTATTAAGAAGCATATTCTATGACTCCTAAAAATTTGTACATTAAAAATAGCTGTCTTTTTTTTTATCTACCCGGCTATGGAAATTGCTACTTCTCATGAATAATCAAAATTTCACAAATACATACTGTTTCAAATTTTGAGAAATGTGAGATGTATGATTTTGGTCAGGCCAGGTTATGTATGATGAAGAACTGCTTGTAGCTTTTAGGTATTTGAAAGCCTACAAGACAAACAAATCAACTGTTTCAGCGATTCTTCTGCTCTGCCAGCAAATAAGAGTACAATGGAAGAAGAAAAGGAATTTCCAAATGAGAAGTATCATTCTAGATTGTAAAAAGAAATCTATGACTTATTCTCTTGTGCCGATTTTAAAATCAAAATTTTGGGTCTCAAACCTCTCAAAGGTCCAAAATTCTAGAACATCTAGTTCATTCTTCTTCTTCTTCTTCTTCTTCTTCTTCTTCTTTGTTTTTTGCCTTCACTTAAACAAATATAAATATGCTCAAACCATGTATCAAAACTAACAAAGTTGAAGTTGGGTTTTTGCAGGCAAAACTTACAGATTTCGGATATCAAATGTGGGCCTTACAACCTCATTCAACTTCAGAATTCAAGGTCACAAGATGAAACTCGTAGAGGTTGAAGGATCTCACACACTTCAGAACACTTACTCCTCTCTTGATGTTCACTTAGGTCAGTCCTACTCTGTTCTGGTGACTGCTGACCAACCAGGACAGGACTACTACATTGTTGTCTCCACTCGCTTCACCAACCCTGTCCTCACCAGCACTTCTATCCTTCACTATAGTAACTCTCAAGGCCAGGTCTCTGGCCCTCCTCCTGGTGGACCAACCATCCAGATTGACTGGTCTCTCAATCAGGCACGCTCAATTCGGTATGACCACCTGCCTGTTCTTATGAGATTCACCCTTTATCTAGATATAGGGAAAATATGCCAATGGATAAACGACCATAATGTGTCCTGTTCTTAGAGATGGGGATGGTTTTGGAATGGGGATATACATTTCTTTTGGCTAATGAGATGAGGAGCTGCTGAAGTAGTTCTAATTTCTGCTTGTTCGTATTCTTTTTCAGTTTTTCAAGTAGTACCTTGGTTGGAGTCTCAATAATTGAATTTTCTTGATTTTTCTCTACTTTTACCCTGTATTTCTGGAAGAATTCTCATTTGAGCATTTCAGTCCTGTCCATGGTGGCTTTCATCTTTTTGTAAATGGAATGGTTTATCAGATTCTCTCCCGAACATCCCTAAACAAGAGACAAGGGGTGGTGAAGATGGGTTTTATTGTTCTTCTCTATTGCAGGCAGCGTATGGTATTGAAAAAGAGATATAACTACTATTCTATCTGTTTCTAACATGAGGTATCCTATTTTTTCTAACATGAGGAGCAGTTAAACTTTTCAAACTCTATATTCTTTCTTTTGCTTGTTTTCTCTCTTTGAAGTCCATCCATTGAACTATCCTTCTTCCAGCCATAGGAAAGATATAGATTCCCTCCATAGGTCAGAAAGACATATGGTGAATGGGGACACATTGGGTAATCTATGCTACTGATTTTAAAATGGGATGTGACCACTTTTTTGATGACATAGATAGCTATTTGAGTGTTTCTAAATAATGGTTTCTTTTGTGCGGCAAAAATTGATGTCACTCCACTTTCTTCTTCTTCCCTTCTCTCTTGTGGCATTCAAGTATAAGCATTTCAGTCTTATTCTCTTCCTCTTACCTTGAACCAGATGGAACCTGACAGCAAGTGGGCCAAGACCAAACCCTCAGGGCTCCTACCACTATGGTTTAATCAACACTACACGAACAATCATCTTGTCTAACTCGGCCAACATCATCAATGGCAAGCAAAGATTTGCAGTTAACAGTGTTTCCTTTATCCCCGCTGATACCCCATTGAAGCTTGCTGACTTTTACAAGATTCAGGGTGTTTTCAGCCTTAATAGCATCCCTGATAGACCATCGGGCAGTGGTGGCTACCTCCAAACTTCTGTAATGGCAGCTGACTTCCGAGCTTATGTTGAGATTGTGTTTGTCAACCAAGAAGATGTAGTGCAGTCATGGCATCTTGATGGCTATTCCTTCTTTGTTGTGGGGTGAGATCCTAAGCTCTCTCTTTCTCTCTCTCTCT